TCACGAGGTTACCAGCTCAAACCCACTAGCTACTCCGTGAAAACTGTATATAGGGTTGCTATAAGTCCAGGAGGCCTGGTGTGGCACTGTGGGTTAATGCGCTGTACTGCAAAGTCAATTTTTTTTATAGGCATATACTGTTGAGTTTCAAACAATATGGTGAGTGATGTCATTTAGTAGCGTTTAACCCAAAGGTAGATGGTAAACCACAAGGGTTGCTATGGGTCAGAACCGACACAAAGGCACTGAACAAGAACATGAAGACAACAGATTAGCATGAGCACAAATAAGGATCTGCAACTCGAAGCAACTACTACTCTCTGGGGTTGGGTGTGAAAGGAACAGGCGGATAGAAGGGGACTTCTACTGCCTTTTTTCTGAAACAATTTTTAAGTGGTGGAAACAGGAGGAATCTTTAATTCCTTATTTCTATTTTTAAAATATTTTTCCAAGTCAAAGTAAGAATTAAAAGCAAAAAACAAAGCTTTTGCATTTCCAGGGGAGAAAAAAAAAGTCGTCCACTTTATAAGCACAGCACAGTTTAAAACAAATTCTAATAAAAGAAAAATGAAGGAACTGTATTACACTGAAATCTCATACCAAGACACTAATTTAATTAGGCAAGGAAAAATGCACAGCGTTGAGATACTGCTTCGTTTTCTGGGATCTTGCCAAAGTCAGGCTATCATTTTAAGGGGAATTCTGCCCTCTAGTGTACACTCAAATGCAACGCCACCACTCTTGAGTTAATTCTGATCTACATGACAGAGAACTGCCCTATAGCATTTCCAAGGACTTTGTTGGAATACCCACTGTCTTTGAATGATTTTAGCTATTCTAGATAGCGTAGTGGTTACGAATCGGGCTATGAACTGCAAGGTCAGCAGTTGGAAACTACCAGCTGTTCCGCAGGAGAAAGATGAGGCGTTCTGCTCCCATAAAAGATATACAGCCTCGGAAACCCTGTACAGGATCACTATGAGTCGGAAGCGACTCCATGACACATAACAACAACAACAATAGTCACTAGTAGTAAGTCTTCACACCTATTTCTCTTCGGAAACTAGCTGAATCCCACTCCGTGGAATGGCCATCTTGCTCTAGGTACACGTGAGGATTCTCAAAAAGGACTGAAGTAGGAGCTCAAGTCAGAGTTGCTGTGAAAACCTGGGGGCCCTTTCTTTCCGTCCTAGTATAAGCACCTGCAGTAAAATTAGATTCAGCTTTGCAATGCTGCTGTCAGCTCAAAGGAAACACCTAGGAAACTCAAAGGGCCTAAAAACAGCTCGGTCAGAGGTCTGATACTTGGAGCATGACAAGATTGTAATCCAAATCTCAAAACGCTTTCCTCCAATACTGTGGCTATTAGGCCCGCTTTCTGCAACTGCAAGTGCAATGCTCCACAGGTTCTCTATCAAAACCTGAAAAACTTCCAAGGAGGCCAAGGTCCTACCTGTTTGTTCACGTCTGAGGGGACAGAGAGAACTTGTGATGTCAAGAACTCTGGCAGGAAAACCGTGGGCACTAGTCAAATACACTGAGAAAGCAGATCAACAACCCAGCACTCCTGCCTTCGTGGGGCTGTCATCTGGATCCTGCACAGCCCTAGGAAGAACTCCATCTCATCCACTCCGTCTACCTTTGGGTTAAACACTACTAAATGACATCACTCACCATACTGTTTGAAACTCAACAGTATACGCCTATAAAAAAAAACAAAAAATAAAAAAAAAAGCCCTCAACAGACTAAGATAGCAAAACTGCAAAGGAAAATGTTGTTTTCCACCTTTTTGTTCTATTGCTTTGAGTCATTCCTTAGCAACAAGGATGCAGTTCAACAGTAAGCCCATAATGAAACATCTAAGACTGTAAGTTTCAGAGACTGGTGGTGGCTCATGGGTAGAATAAAGTAAGCAGTAAAGTGGGAGTGAAGCCTGGCCAGCCAGCTGCCCACACATGTTGGCAGAAGGTTCATGCAAGTGGCTAGTCTTGGGGAGGTGGGAGGGGGGCTGGGAGGCAGCAGGATCAGAGGTGGATCAAGAGAACCACTCTGCTTGGAGTAACAAGCCAAGGGAAGGGAATGCAGACAAACTAAAGTAAGCATCAGGAGCCCTGGTGGCACAGTGGTGAAGCACTTGGCTGCTACCCCAAAAGTCTGTGGTGCTCCTCAGGAAAAGATGTGGCAGCACTGTACTTTCAACTACCAGATGGAGTAGGAGCTCTCTGGCCACTCGGATTCTTGCCTCCAATTGAAACTGGGTGTTTGGGTTATTTCAGTCCCAAAGCATAAACTTCAGCTTTCTACAGCCTAATCAGTGTGCTATTTTAAACATGTGGAGGAAATGCATTTTCAGTCACAAACATTGGCTCCTCTGAAGCTGTTCTCATTTGTTAGCAAAAGATGTGGAACAGGATGCTTTACTCTCCGGCTCTGCTTTTCCTGTATTGCCCCAATCTGTTTACAGAGGGGGAAATCAACAAACAATGCATTTCTGCTGGACAATTTCTATAAACTGAAGCAGCTCAAAAAGTGAAAATGAAGAAAAGAGGGTACAAGAATGCCCTGACTGCATCAGCATGCATTTCTTCTTGTGAATGTTATTATTCATGTAGATTCTTCCCGAGGAGAGACTTGTCAGACCTCTTATGTGCAGGAATAAACTGTCACTCACTCACTCACTCACTCACTCACACACACACACACACACACACACACCACACACACACACACACATACATACATACATACATATATACATATATATATACCCAAAAGACTCCTAGAGCAGGCGAGCTCCTCTTGGCCCCATCTTTTCCCAAGCACAATTCTAACTATAAAAGCTTTCAGAAAAATGAACACACTAACAATGAAGGTCATCTTCTGGATTTATTCAGCAATGCAAGGTACTCTGTATCATAACTGAACGTGTCCTTATTGTCCAGGACAACTGTGAGGACTTTTACTCTGGTATTAGGCAGACACACCCTTGTAGTCTGTTACACTGCAGTACAGCTTCCAAGAAACAATTCTACTGGCACCTTTCATGAGGGAAGCCTAAAGCTTTAACCCACTGAGGATACTGAGCTCTGCTGCACTCTGCCCAGGGAGCTATCCTGGAGGGGTCACATCAATAGGACCCGTGCCCTTGGGCCTCAGTGGCTAGGGGCGCACCCTGGAAAGAGACGGCAGGGAGGGAGGGAAGACAGGGAGACCTGGGTATTTACTCCCTTGGCTCCTCCTAGGCACTTATCATCAACTGAAGGTCTTAGCTTCTCTTAGGAGGCCCACGTCATCAGGCCCTGACTTCCACACACCAACTGCTCCCCTAACTCCTTCAGGCCCTGGGTGGTAGTGTTGTTGTTGTTGTTGTTGTTGTTAAGTACCATCGAATCAGTTCCGACCCAGTATAGGGTTTCCAAGGAACAGATGGTTTGAAATGCTGACCTTTCAGTCTAGCGCTGATCCTACAACACCACACCAAGTTATGGAGCCTGGCTATTTCTAACCCTGGGGAAGCGGCATCACTCTGAGTTACTCAAGTCTGTTCCACATTTCCTAGTGAGGGTGCCATACATCTTCTGCTGAGCTCCCTAACAGAGATCAACTTGGCCTATTCTTTATCCTAGAAAGGCCACTAGCTCTTTCTACAATAAGAAGTCACAGGTCTAGAATGCAGTAAGGTCTCCATGTAAACACGGAAGACAGAGCTAAATGAAACTAGCTGGCACCTTTCCCTCCTCAAATTCTTCATGACAACAGGTACACATGTACATATACATACATCAGATTACCACGACGTAACTACAGCAACAGCGAGTACTATCCGAAACAAATAGTTTCTAAGTTATACTCCCAAGCCCCAACAGAAATTATTTTAAGAAGAAACACCCAAGGAAGCTAGAAGTAAAAATTGTACCAGCTGGGACAACCTAAGGTTGCCTTTATCTCTCTCTGGCAATTATACACAGGATCAGATTCCAGAGTAACACTTTGATTAAATGTAAGAGTCACTGGATACAAGGCCCATCCTTGTATCCTTGGGGCTTCCTGGTATCACTTCCCACACACAGGACTCCTATGCAAACCTTTGCCTCAGGACCTGCTTCCAGAGAAACGCAACCTGAGAGAGTACTATGGAGCAACAGACCAGGAGACACACAGTACTGTTTGGAGCCAGGGCTGCACAGCTGGGAAAGGCCTGCCTCAGAAGAGCTCACAATCTGACAGGATGACCCACGATTTTTTTAACTTAGGCAAAAATACCAAACTTTATTGCGCACAGCAGGGTTGGAGGTTATGGTCAAGGACCAAAGAGAGAAGCGATGGACACTGAAGAAAGGGTCTGAGAAGTTCCTTCAGGTGACCTGCTCAACCCCAAACAACTGAGGATACAACATCGTCCCCTCACAGATTAGCACCACGGAACGGGCCCTGCACCTCTTCCCTGCAGACCACAGCCACCTCGGGCTTCTGACTCACTCTCCCTCTACTGACTTACCTCTACCTTATACCTACATGCTTACAAGAACAGAACTTCGTATTTCCTCCAAAGAGAAAAAATTCTACTTTTCAGCTAAAAAGAACTCAGTTAATAGGGAAAATATGAAGAGATACAAAGTGTTATGTTTCTGACAATGGGTTCAGACAATTAGTTGTAAATCATCTTTGACCTTTTTAGGTTTCTCTAAGGTCACTGGGCTACAGGTCCAAATCTCCATGAAAACTAAGTTCTCATGCTGCTCTTTTCATTCAAAACCCTTTCAACAGGATCTCTCTGACAGGCTCAGCTCTGTGGTCAACACTGAATCAGGACTTCCAATGAGACAGATTCAAGCTTATTTTCCTTCGCAGCTTCCTTTGAAAGGGAGAAGACAGAGCCACAGCATGCAGCCCCCTCTCAAGAAAGCAGCTGTAACAGCTACACATAGAGCTGCTGTGTGCACTGGGAGCAGCTTCTCCCAAAACCAGGTACAGCTGGGGTGGAGGCGCGCATACTTACCCAGACCCAGCAGGGAGGGACGACAGGGCTGAGGGGGCGTTCGTCTGTGGTTTCTCTTTCTCATTCTGCTTGAAGAAGGACTTGGCTTCCTTAGATGTAGCTTCCACTTCCTTCGTCACCCTGTACCAGGGAAAGAGACATCATGTTGGCCAGAGGAATAAAGAGAGAAGAATAAAATCGAAGAAAAGCGACAAACTGCCAACTCAGAACAACCCGAGTTTCAATACATTAACATTTATGAGAGCGCTAGAAAACTGTATTTTGCCTGATAACATTTATATACAAACAACAACAATTATAGGTTTTATCTTCTTCCTTTACCTGTGTCACTTTGACGGAGACTCCAACAGTCCCCACTGAATCCCAACCCATTGTGGGCTAAAGAGGCCTCACGTCAGTAGCTGAATGCTTGGACTTACAGGCCCAGTAAAAGGCAGCAAGCATGAGCTTGCAAGAAAAGCACTACCTTCTTTCAAGGAGAAAAGCAACCATATAAAAAGAATTGGAAGTATGCTACAGAAGGTTCCCGCTGTACATCTTAATCAACCTAAAGATGAAGCAAACTCCCTTAAAACTGGCCAAATTAGCAAACCATTGGGAGTTGAAGAAAGCAGTCTAACTGAAGTTTCAAATCTGGAAAAACTGCCCCCTCTAAAGGATCATATCAAGATCTAAATGACATCTCAGATTTCAGAAGAAGAGGAAAAATATCTGCGGCCTGTGTGGGCTTACCAGGCCAACAAAGACATCTGAAGAGTTTTGTTTAAAGTTGGTCTATCTGGAAGAGAGAGGAGCCAAGATTATAGATCAAACAGGTCATCCAGAAGATTGGCCAAAAGCCAGCACAGGTTAAGTCCTATACATCCCATCTCTCTTTACTGACCTCCTAGGTCCCTCCGTCTAGATTTCCTGAGACCAGAAGAAAATTTTCTGATTATGAGCCACCTCACTTCTGCACAGAGCACTGTATCACATAGGAGAGTAAGAGAAAGAGCTGTATTAAGAATCTCCTGTGGGAAAGATTAACAAATTAATCTAGAAAGGTGACTTTAGCAGGCTCTATCTGTGTTGTCTCTTGACTCTCCCAAATGAATCTTACAGTTAAAAACTGGGAGCATTTGGGGAGCCATCAAGGCAAGCAATCAAGTCCCTTCAGGACAAACCTCCCTCCAAGACAGAAACTCAAATTGAACACATGAGCAGGCGTGTAAGCTTGCTGGTGACCACGTTGGTCTACTGGTGAGTGGAAGACGGGGAAAGGCAGCAATGAAGAAATGGGCTGAGTTCAACCATGCCATAGACTCTCATTGATCTGGAGAAGAGAGAGAAGAGGAAGGGCTGGTTGGTCCGAAATGTGGTGAGCCCTGGGGACTCCTGAGCACATGGACAAAGACATAGCCATGGAGGGCTAGAGCTGAGAGTGAAGTATCCAGCTGATATGAAGCGAGGGGAGATACACAAGAACACCCAAACTTACATATAGTACCCATTTGACTTAGCCTCGATGGCTTGATGATCAGAACTCGACTAGAATATAAAAAAACAATGTTTGATAAAGAAAACAAGTGTACATTGCTACAATTTAATGAACTTGACCTATTACTTATGGATGTAGTAGCTCAAAATACCAACTCAGAGCAAAGGAGTCTTCACATCAAGTATCAATCCTATCCCCTCTGCATACAAGGTAGACAGGGACGGGCAACTCAGACATTGGCTACATATATATGAGGGGGCAATAAAGGCACATAGTGACTGGCTTACACGTTTTCAAGAGGGAGTTTAGTTTAACTTTAAGAGTGTGCAGAGGAAGATAAGAGTACCCACTGAATAGTTTTCATCTTGTCTAGATGGGTCTTGTCAAAAGATAGGGATAAGATTCTTATGATTCAATAGTGAATAACTGTTACCATGACTAATTGTGACCATTAAAACTGTAAAGGTAGAAGTTTTGTAACAAAAACAGGAGAGTAGTTAATCTTATAGCCCAGGAACAGAGGACCACCAAGGGAGAAGAGCATGAGTGGAATGAGGGACGCACACTAGAGATGGAGGCAGATATGGGCACATGGAGAGAGGGAGCACCTGAGAACTCTAGATTCATGGGAAGAGAAAGACTGAGTGCTGGCAGTCAGGAGGCAGACTTATAGAACGTGCCATTTGGTTGCTTAAACTATTATATAATTCTTGAGTGTTTCTGTGTACATTCACCAACCCTCCCCCCACCCCCGAAAAAAAACAAACAAACACAATAGATGGAATAGAAGCAAATTCTGTTGAATGATGATGTATGGAAAATTGTAATCATTGCAATGAAACGATGGTGTAAAACCGATGTTCTTCCACGTAAACTATCACGCAATTCACAATAAAAACTTAAAAAAACAAAACAAAACCTGAATAACAAAAGAAAAAACTTGGGAGCACTGATGTGATGGACTAGAGTACTGCTCAGCAAATAGTCACATCTTCTCACTGACCAACAAAGAGAGCTCCCCACTCCTCTGCTAATGAACTCTGACGTGCTGTGGTCAGTGGAGTGGGAGCTGATTTGACAGGAAAGAAGCTTAAATGTGTTTGTATTGCTTCACTTGTCCCCTTGAGTTCCTTCCTCTAGCTGTAAGAATCTCTCTAAAGTAGTTACGGATCTAAAATGGCGGAAAGACATGACCTGAAGCCAGCAAGTGGCTTAGAGCTGAGCTGAGCCAAGCCTAGACCAGCACATTGAAGCCAAGCAGACAGAGGAGGACAAAAATCACCCAGATGCCTGCAGACCAGTTGCTATTGGACTGCACCTGCATCAGAGACCCTGAGGGAAGTGGCTAGCTGAGACCTGTCACCCCCAGAATTATGAACGATCATAATAAAACAACAGTGTTTTATTAACCCACAAAAATCTGAGACTTCATTACCAGCTATAAAGATAGAATGTTGGTGAAAGACAGGATAAAGATCAAGTGGGCCAAACTATAAGGAAAGGAGAAGCAGCAGATTGGGTTTTGGGTTTTGCTTGTTTTATCACAGTGACAGACAAGACTTTTGTGGCAGCCACATTAAAGAATTCAGTGAATGTTTTCTGAGAAGCAATCTCCATCCAGGTGCAGTATTAAGACGCTGGGTGTATAAAAAGATATGATGTAGTCTCTGGCCTTCAGGAGTTCATAGTCCCACAGCACGACAACCATTCCTATGAATAAATCATGATGACACAAATGATAAACAGTAACTGCCATAAAGGTTGCATGAAAAAGTGTAACCTGTGGGAGTATGTGTTCATTCTTAGTGCCAAAGTCCTATCCATGTTCACCAGGAAACAAGTTCAGGGCCTTCGGTTGTTGTGGTTGTTATTAAGTGCCAGTGATCTGGTTCTGATTCATACTAACCCTGTACAGGGTTTCCTAGGAGCAGCTGCTGGTTTTGAACTGCTGAACTTGTGGTTCACAGTCCAATGCTGATCCTACAATGCCATACATATGAGGAGTCCAATGTTGTACCTAAAAATCTACCTTTAACAAGCAGGAAGAGACTGAGCTATAAAAATAGCTTCAAGTAGAAAGATGGCTAAATTATAGACAATCTCTCTCACACAAGAGTGACCCTTACAGGAAAAGGTCCACTACCATTATTGTTGCTGTTAAGAGCCATCGAGTTGGTACTGACTTTTAGCGACCCTACGCACAGCAGAACAAAACACTGCCCGATCCTGGGCCAACCTCACTACTGTTGCCACGCTTGAGTCCATCGATGCTGCCACTTAGCTAATCCATCTTGTTGGGGGTCTTCTTCCTCTTTTTCTCTGACCCTCCACCTTACCAAGCATGATATCCTTCTCCAGCAACTGGTCCCTCCTGACAATATATCCAAAGTATGAGAAATCAAGTTTGGTCATCTTGGCCTCCAAAGAGCACTCTGGCTGCATTTCTTCCAAAATGGAGCTGTTGGTTCTTTTGGCAGCCCACGGCACTTTCAATATTCTCCTCCACTACTGTTGTGGTTGTTAAGTACCGTGGAGTCGGTTCCGACTCATACTGACCCTGTACAGGGTTTCCAAGGCTGTAAATTTTTATGGGAGCAGAAAGCCTCCTCTTTCTCCCGTGGAACCTCTGGTAGTTTCGAACTGCTGACCCTGAGGTTAGCAGCCCAATTCATAACCACTACGCTACCAGAGCTCCTTTCCACTACCAACGTTGTTGTTGTTATGTGCCGTCGAGTTGGTTCCGACCCATAGTGACCCTGTACAGGGTTTCCGAGGCTATAAATTTTTACGGGAGCAGAAAGCCTTATCTTTCTCCGACGTAGTGGCTGGTAGTTTCGAACTGCTGACCTTAAGGTTCGCAACCCGATTCGTAACCACTACGCTACCAGAGCTCCTTTCCACTACCATTAGTACCACTTAATTTGAGTATTCTCAACAGAAATTCCATCTTAACTTCATCACTTACTCAGAACTTCCTGAGAAGTCTTTATTTCGGCAGAACCTTTTCATGACTGGTCTTTTCCAGAAAGGTGAATCATTTAGGATAATCTGAATTAAGTGGTTTAGCAGTTAGTGTGACAGAGGAGAAGAAAAAATACTGTTAATGTCCCATTCCCCAAGGTTAATGAGCTGCTTAGAAATACACACTTTTCAAGAGGGGTAATAACAACACCCAGTTGCAAAAATCTTGGCTGTGATAATTAAATCACAGTTAACAAAACTAAGTAAGTTTGTGCTACCACCTTGGTGGTAAGTGCTGTGGAGTCGGTTCTGACTCATAGTGACCCTGCACAGGGTTTCCGAGGCTGCAAATCTTTACAGGAGCAGAAAGCCTCATCTTTCTCCCGCAGAATGGCTGGTAGTTTCAAACTGCTGACCTTGAGGTTGGCAGCCCAATTCGTAACCACTACGCTACCAGAGCTACCACCTTAGGCTTACAAAATCTTCCCATTCATCACTAGCTCTTTCTCAAATTTCTTTAAGATTGGTAATGCTCCTAACCTGATACAAAGACAAAAAAAAGTACACAAAAAACATCAAAAAAGTAAATCCATCAAACCTACTGCTGTTAAAATCAATGCCAACTCACAATGACCCTGTAGTATGACAGGCTGAAACAACCTATCTACTGGTTAGCAGCAAT